AGGTTCAGTTGGTGAGCGGGAACACCAAGGTTTTCATACAAAGGTAGCTCTCTGGCTCCTCACTGCCCAATTCTTGAATAGCCCCAGAAAAGTAGCCTGATAATTAGTAGTCACTGACTTTTAATGATCTGATCTCATTCTAATGGCACAACCCCAAAATCTCAGGCAAGACCAGCAATTCTCACCCCTCTGTCTTCTTTTAAGTATTGAAACAAGGGCTGACGAGATGGAAGCACTCCTGGAAGCCTGACAGTAAGTAATATTTTGCAATTAAAACATTTGCAAATATTTAATTGTCTGAAACAACAATGGCAAGATGGAGAAGACTCCTTATTTATACTTTCATATGTAAAGGAAATTTTGATCTAAGAATGTATTTCACCTCTGGGTTCATCCTCCCCTGCTTCTATCATTTCTTTCCTCCTCTCCTCTTTTTTTTTTTTTTTTTTTTTTTGATCAGAGGCATGAAAGTGAGTAAGTGTGAATGCTTAGGTACCTGGGGTATGGAAAGGTGGTAATTAGCACAGCGGGATAATTGATGTGTAGATTGCAGCATGAACAAATGCTTTGACTTGTTTGTTCTTCTCACTCTTCCACATTCATTCTCTCTCTCTTCCTCTCGCTCTCCCTCTCTCTCTGTCTTTGAAAACGCAGCCTAGCTAATGAACACCTTAGCTGCTTAGTTAAGCTGATTACAGATATACATCTATCTGAAGGAAGCGCCCTAGTCTCAGAGAAGATGCTTAGGTGGTACCTTTTGCTCTCAGTTGCAAACCAAGAGTGCCTTTCCTCCCTCCAGAGCTTCCATTTCACACCCCCTAACCGAGACACAACAATGCCACCCAACCATACACAAAATGACAGATACGCACACCCCATTTTTTGGGGGAAAATGGTGAAGATGACAGAAAAGTTTAGAACTAGAAATCAGAATCAGAGAAAATTCCTAAAGAACTTTACCTGAGCATCAAATGCACTGTCATTTCAGGCAGTATTCCTAGGACTTTCCACTTTAGGGAATCTCAGAATTATAATTACTAGAAGCTCTGCTGTGTCAATGGTTTCAATCTCAGACAGTTATTAAATAGAACTCTTTAGAAATAAATTGAAAATGTATCCATACTTTGGCTTTTCAGTCACATCAGCCTTTCAGAGGAGGTAAGACATGTGGGGATACTCCACCTGCAATGCCATCTCCCTTCTTCTCTCTCCCCCTTCCTTCCTTCCCTGAACTTAAGTGCTCAAATTCTAACCTTCATAAGGCAGTTAAACTTGGGAATCCCTAGTTCAGAGTTAGCCCGCCTATCTTGAAACATACCTAAACACACTTGCACTGCGTGGGCAATAACATTTTCGAACATTCATATGATGCTTTCAGGAGACTCCATGCACCATCTTCTACTTCCCCAAATAGGCCCTATGTCAGTAGTCAAAGGATATTGAATCATCCTTTGCCCCCCTTCCGTCCTTCCACATCCTTCCTTCCTCCCTTCTTTTCTCCTTCCCTCCCTTCCTCCCTCCACCCTCCCTCCGTCCCTCCCTCCCTCCATTCCTTCCTTCCTTCCTTCCTTCCTTCCTTCCTTCCTTCCTTCCTTCCTTCCTTCCTTCCTTCCTTCTTCCCTCTCCATATCCCCTCTCCTCCCCTTTCTCAAACTAGTAAGTGAGCAATTAAGTCACTTAGCCAATATGGAAAAGATATACCTTTAGTCTTCAGGACTCCATTTTCACAAAGCATGTTACATGTGTATATTACCTTCAGCAAGGTCCAGGCCCTTTAGACCAATTATCTATCCAGTGCCTGGTGCTCTTTACTATGGGTATTCCTAGATCCCAGGGTATTTTTAATAGTCATTAATCTACTCTCATTTTTTTTTTCTTCTCTCAGAAACTTCCACATATGAGCTTGATGACTCATAAGGGCACCATACCAAAGACCAAGAACTGGCCGGGCGCAGTGGCTCACACCTCTAATCCCAGCACTTTGGGAGGCTGAGGCAGGTGGATCACCTGAGGTCAGGAGTTCGAGACCAGCCTGGCCAACATGGTGAAACCCCATCACCACCCAAAATTACAAAAATTAGCCGGGCATGGTGGCATGCACCTGAAACCCCAACTACTGGGGAGGCTGAGGTGGGAGAATTGCTTGAACCCAACAGGTGGAGGTTGCAGTGAGCTGAGATCGTGCCATGGCACTCCAGCCTGGGTGACAGAGTGAAACCCTGTTTCAAAAAAAAAAAAAAAAAAAGAAAAAAGAAAAAAGAATTAAGTTTAATAACTGTAAATTTCAGTAAACTGATTTTAAAGTTTTTTAAACGTTGGAGCACTTTAGTATATACCAGTGATCATATTTCTCTAAATTACATATTCTAAGTTCTTCAGGCCCCAGTTCTGTTTTACATGCAAGATTTCTCTGGCTGCTAAGTACTTGGTCGGTAATAGCCTTTACTGTATAAATAAGAGGGTTCTGACAGCATTGGCTTCCTCTGCTTTATGCAGTGGTAGCAATGGAAAAATGACTGGGGTAATCAATAAGTAGCTCACAAAAAAGTAGAGAAAATTTGCATAATTGGTTCTTATTAGCTTACCCATAAAATGTATTATGATACTTCTCATATGTCTAACATGCCTATATATGTTCTTCCTTCCATCACTAGATTTTGTTTAGGGCCTACAAATATGCTCTGTATTATTTATCATTATTCCTTTTTTTTTTTTTTTTTTGAGACGGAGTCTTGCTCTGTGCCCCAGGCTGGAGTGCAGTGGCGCGATCTCGGCTCACTGCAAGCTCCGCCTCCCGGGTTTACGCCATTCTCCTGCCTCAGCCTCCCGAGTAGCTGGGACTACAGGCGCCCGCCACCTCACCCGGCTAATTTTCTTGTATTTTTAGTAGAGACGGGGTTTCACCGTGTTAGCCAGGATGGTCTCGATCTCCTGACCTCGTGATCCGCCCGTCTCGGCCTCCCAAAGTGCTAGGATTACAGGCTTGAGCCACCGCGCCCGGCCATATTTATCATTATTCCTTACCACATCCCCCAGTTACTCCCATCTTGTCCATTCATCACAACTAGAGGAGAATTTTTGACTAGAAAAGAACACATTTTCTCACAACTCTAAATTCTCCCAACTTATCTTCAATTAAAGATAAATTAATGAGCCATGAAAACTGTACCATGGTACTGGACCACCTGAACACGCTGAGGCCATGTCCCCCCTTAAAGCATGATGGTCCCTAACTCGTAGCTGAATAAGGGACTGCAGCTTCGCATGCCCTTCTGACGGGCCCATCTGGCCTCTTTCAAGGCCCAACTTCAAATAGGAAGTGCAAAGACAGGAAACAACTTTGCTAGAAGCTGGGGTAGCTCAGCCATGTGAATGCTCCTGCCTGGTAGACATTTTATGTTTCTGTAGGTTCTGGGATCAGGATGCTTCAATTTGAATCCAGCTCTCTAACTGCCTAACTTGTGACTTCTGGTAAATTATCCTACCTGCCTCCATGTCCTCCTTTATTAAGTGGAGGACAAGAATATCCACTGGGTCAGTGGGAGGTTGTGAAGGTTACGTGTAAAGCACCTAGAGAGACCAGCTCCCAGAAAGTGCTTAGTAATAGGTGCTAGGTGTTATGATAATTGTTAGCCAAGTCTAGGGACAGTTTTTGGTGACAGTGAGTTCTGTATCACTCTTTCACATGCTAATTTTGTGACAATCCTATGGTGATTTACAGTAGTCATGTTGAGCCGGTAAGATTTTATTTTTACTCCGTTTCTAAGTTTGATAAAGGGCAATAGAGGGCATTGAAAGGTCATGACATTTAAGCATGAAGTATATAATTTAGGAGTTTGGGGGCACCTGCTGTGGAAAGGGGGCATCCCGGACACTAAACTAGGTTCCGTGCTGCCACCCTATGAGGTAGGCAGCAGGATTCCATTTTACAGAAGAAAATGCTAAACGTTCAAGATGATAAAGGACTTACTGAAAGTTCACGCAGATAAGTGGTGAAATTGAGTTTTCCACTTTTCATCTGTCTCACCTCAAAATGCAACATCTCTCTGAATGCTGCATCACACTTTTCAAACTGTGCACGCAAGGTACATGCTAAAAAGGGCCTTTATGGTTTTTGACATTTATGTTGCACACATTCAGAAGAGATAAAAATAGACTCCATGCTGCTGATATAATTACTAGAGGCTATAAAAGCCATGCAAAATCTGGAGAGGGGGCGTGGGAATAGTCGAGGAAAGAACATAAACAAGGGAGCAGTGACACAAACTAGGACTTCATGCCATCCTTAATTCCTTCACAGAGCTCCACACAGTCCTACAGTGTTCCACCATGTCAAATCAGGCCTTCATTTTGAACTTGGAAATCTCCCCACTTGCAGGCAGTGGCACTGCCAGCAAGCCACAGGTGGGCACCACATGAGCAGGTGAGAAATGCCACTAGTAAGGGGAGGTTGAGGATCTGGTGCCTCTAAAAGAGCACATCAATCCTAATTATCCTGCGTGGGTGCACCACTTATGTCGTACTTAGGTACTTATTTTTTTAGTCAGGCAGTTTAAGAGAGTTTTAGGCAAATGAACGTCCGTGCCTTGGAAATCCCTGAGAAGACGTGAAGCAGCCTCAGAAAGAGAAACTGGCTGAGCTTTCAGCTTGCGCGCGCTGGGGTAAGGAAGCCACACTACACTGAGCTGGCATAACTGCCCTTGGCCTGGCCAGCAGCATCTCGCCCTGCAAACTGAGAGAAACCTGAGAATGAACTTCTACACTGCACCTCAGAAGGGAGCAGGCGGGAGAGGAAGCCGGGTTGGGAAGTCGGAGTGGAATCTGAACACAGAAGACAGGGAGAGCTATTCAGGAAAATGTGCTTTGTTATTTCCTTCTGGCACCTTGCTCATTACCATTCTAATTTTTCAAATGCAAACTGAAACCCATACTAACTTTAACATCCTAAATGACAAACTAAAAGCAACACAACTCCCCCTTCCACTCCAGTAATACCCCTC